TATATATATTATTTCTTTATTTTCTCTTCCAGTGAAGAAAGATGTAAGCGACGAAACTGACAACAAAGTTCCACAATTCAAGAAAAAGGCAAAAGAACTTCGTATCCTGGACGCCAAGACGGCACAGAATCTTTGTAAGTTCATATATCTTTGATCTGTTTTGCACCCTCAAATATTTAAAATATATATTTTAGGCATCATCTTTTGTTCCAGAAATATCAGCAGATAACTCTGAATTCGTTATTAAATTCAAGTAGATTTTACTTTTTTTAATCCTTGTGCGTCAAAAGTTATGAGCAAGTGAATTATTACACTGGTATTTAAGTTTTTAGTAATTTTTTGACTCCATTTCAACCTTAGTAAACTTTTTGTGGCTATATTTAATAGTAAATACTATACAACCATGTATTCCTATCTGCCTGCCTACTTTTGGTTTTCTTTACACATGAGCCTGGTTCTGAAAAGAGCATGTGRCATGAGCATAAGGATGACACACAGAGACATGTGCTTGTTAGGTCTGTGTGTGCATCTTGTTGTGCGCATTTGCAAATTATGTCACTGCACTTACGAAGTGGTTTGACAATGCTGATAGGTGTCACTGCCATGCCTGATTACAGAACCAGCAGATGGGTCCCGGGTTTTGCAGGGAGAACAAAAAATGCATGTTGAAAACCTCACCTTGACAAAAGTAATGGGTGGGAAGCACGATGTTGTACACAGCCTCACAGCTCTTCCTGAGCTGCCTTGATGCACACACAACTGCATCGCAGCTTACCACTGAATCTGCCAAGCTTCTTTTTCATTTCTGATATGAAGGTTCAGTCGCCGGGGGTGTGTAGTGGGATAAAATGAGTCATTGTCATGTCAGTGTGACTTGATGCATCATGCTAAAATGATTGTGTATACCACTATCAGGTAAATGGTGACTATTTGTCTCTGAAAACATTCACTCAGCAGAGTCAGTAATCTGTAGTTGTGTAGGTGACTTTTGGTTAAGTTTTAAATAATTCAAACTGCAGCATTTAGGGGGACACTGATAGCTGAATAAAATATATGTTTTAATTCTTGGACTTAAATGTTAGGATTTAATAAACCTAAAAAAAAACTGTTTTCAGTTGTGCAGTTAAATGTTGTAAAGCTAAAAATGGACAAACTTTTGTTTTGAATCCTAATGTCCAGAACAGTTATAATTAGGAGAACCTTCATGAAGTCATCATTTTAAAAATTCAATGCTATTTGTTTCCTGTTTTTAAATAAGACCTCAGAGCATCTGTGAGACAATGCAAGCTTCAGAAAATGWTTTTTTTTTTCAAAAGCTCACATTCATTTTAGCTAAATGCACAAACTCAGGCTTTATTATTTTAGATTGCTTATTTTGTCTAATTTATTTTCAAAACAGAATAATTTAAAATATATTTATTACATCTGAATAAACTGTGGATGCAAAGAATCATTCTGCCACATGGCATTTTGAAAGGCAGCACTTTAAAAAAAGGGGTGATGTCTTTGTAATAAACTGAGAAAATAAGCAAGGAAACCACATAATGCAGTTATTGTGTTGTCTAACAGGTGGCTACACTCCTGCTTTAATACGCTGCCCTTCTTTTTTATGCTTCATAAATTTGCTACAAAGCTCAGTGACTGAACCTGGAGGGTGAATATGCTGGGTCATGTTTTGCTAAAGGGTAAAAATAAACTGAATTGGACTACAAAATCCACAATAAAAATTCTACCCCTGTACCACATTATCTATTGTAGCACTTCTGGGATTGGTTATAATAAGAGAATCAACCAAACAAGTCCAAGCTGATGACACCAAACACTGACATGACATCTGTTTGGAGTAAAATACGACACAATAAAATGACAAGGTTCCTTTTTTATTATTCAAAAAGTTTTGAGAAAAGTTAGCAAACACATTAAACAGTTTGTGTTATGAACTGAAATTGACTGAGGATCCAAAAAMAGGCAGTACTTCTCTGTTTATTGCATGTCAAATGCAGACATCAGGTCCCCCTGCTGCAGTTGTATGGCAGCTGTTGAATGACTCTCCTCCAACTCATTACCAAAGCTCCACCTGTGACTTCCACCTGGATACACCATCAGCTCCAATTTCCCATGTAGCCACCCCACCTGGAGTGTGCAACACCCACTAGGCTTCCCCCCTGAGGCAAATTCAGCATGCCTCTTGGTATACACCCAAACAAAAACACGTTGCTTTTCAGATAACACATGCCTAGTTTAGCTATAACTATTCATATTTCCATAATATTCATATTTTCCGAGTTTTTCGAGCGTAGATCTGGTATTCAAAACAAATTAGCTTAACATCTTACAGGTGGGTCCTGATTGTTTTCTATTTTGGTTTTGTCAGGGTGACACTTTTTTTTTCTATGAAGTAGGGTTTGTGATCATTTTGTCTGGGAAGTGATGAGTGCCAAATGTCTTTTTGAACCTTGCAGTCTAATAAAAAAGACAGGAAATGACTCTCTTCTCTCTACATCACAACAGCAATTTTCTTGGGCTCGTTCCGCCTGCCTTATGAAGAGATCCGTGACATTGTGTTGCAGGTAGACGAGGAAAGACTGAGCGAATCACTCATCCAGGTAAGACTGGTGTTTGCTGTAGTGCGTTAGCATTTTTGCTCACACTCACGAACGCAGACAGATACACTGTCGCACACACAGTTTTAGGAATGTGAAATTTTATGTCCATGCGTGTGGGTTTGTGTGGGATATGTGAGAATAAACAAGCGAAAAAAAAATAACAATGAATTTTCCTATGTATTCATTTGAGAAGAATGTTTTTTGAACTGGACCCTATTTTAAACCTGCTACGGTTTGCTTTTTGGCACAAGACAGTCTTTTTTTGTCCTCACGTGGACTGCAGAGACCCTCTATTCATCCTTTTTATGATGGATGAAGAAGGACAAAGCTTGGCAAAGTCACTCCAACTCTACCCTCCTCCTTCTTGCTTTTGTCTTGAACCATGATKGATGAGTTTCCTAAAGGCTACTTGTTTTTGTTTTCCTTTTATTAAATTTTTCTGTGTGTCTCAGTAAGCATTAATTGAAAACTGGGCGGAGGAATGTGAGGTGAAGATGCATCACTGGGTAGCATTAAACTAAATCTCGCACTGTGTTTGTGACTGAAGGAGTCTTGTTGTCTCCTCCTTGTGTTTCATCTGTAGGAGGTGTAGACCTCAGGGGTGTATTGCAAATTGAAGATTTGATTTTAATAAAATCTTGGCAGTGATGCATTGTGCTATGTGCATGAATGTGCACAACGGTTGTATTTTTTTACAACCAGCAGTGGGGATCCTTAAAGTGTTGATTTTGCATCTAGAGGTCTTAGTAAAACATGTTTAATTTGTCCCATTATATTCCCTTATGTCCATTCCCACGTAACCTATCAATAAAGACTAATATAGCTACTCATCTACTTCTCTCCCACTGCTTGGATCATAGAMACCAGTATTAGGTGGAAAGGCAATATATATTTAGATTGGCCCATCCAGAGAGCTGCAGTACAGGGCWATTATTTTGAGCACTGATAACCTTTAATAGACATAATAGGTAATCTGGCACAAAGTACAGAGTGTACATTATGAGATGGTACACCTCTCTTTTGTGAGAGAGAAAGGAAGTTGAGGTGTTGACCTTTTTTCACCTTCAACCTTTCTGTACTTAATATCTGCCAGCAGGAGAGTTGTGTCTTCAGCCAATCCCCACCTGGCCCTTGTTGCACACAGCACCTGATAAATGGCCGGATTGGTTCAATGTAGTCTGCACAAGTTACACAGAGAAGAAGCACTCCATCACATTCACACCATCAAGCAGCTGCTATTAAACTGACCTTGATCAGAATACTGATAGTAGAGAATGGATGTGAATGAGTGTTTGCACTAGAACTGATGGCCAGGCATGAGCTGGTGTTTGATCCTGGCAGTAGGACAGACAAAACCTCTAAATACCACTTTGCTCTTATATTGTGCTCATTGCTCTAAATTATTATGGTGGATGTTAGGATCTAACTCTGTTTTTATCAAACAGAAACAAAATTAACTTTACCGTATTTAATCTTGTAATCTGCACAGTATGAATTAAAAAATATGTCAACATATTACTGTACCAATATTTTATGTAAAAACACAGTTACTTCCACACAAATATATTTTTAAAATAACAAATATGTGTTATCTGTATTCTGCAGTAATTGATTTTCTAACCATAACACTCTGCATGCCACTGGTCAAAACAAACATTTTGCTTAAATAATTTTTAGACAGGATTTTTTTCATATAATTTTGTTAGTAGAAAGCATGTAAATTTTTAAAGAACCAACATTTCAAATGGGTAATTTTTTATTATTATTATTTTTTTGGATAGGTGTATACA